ATATGTTTGTGCAGCCTTTCAGTATGCTAGTGACCTGAAAACAACTCTAGACATAAAATTCCATTGCGAGGTTACTAGACGTTACGAAGGTTGAGAAGTCTTTCCATTGTGTTAAAACTTTGTGCAAGACAGTTTAATAGGCTTATTATAAAGTTAAGTTTAATGAAGACTAGTCTTTTTTTTTGACTTCCACCAGAGTGTGTAAATACTTGCACACTTTTTTATATTCCCCAGTTGATTTGTGTAAACACTATGCTTTATTCATAGTGTTTTCTTATGTTAGGCATAAACGTCATTTATGTTTTTTTTTCCTTCTTTCACAACTGCACCTGTGAAACAAAGGGATGAGTAATTTAGGAAGGAGGGAAGCAGTTCATTGTGAGGGCCTTCCCCATATGTGATTATAAGACATTATGGAAACAATCTTTAGACTCAAGCTCTGTATATAGAATAGACAAGTGTTCATGTGTTCGCCACCATTCCAGTAGTCTATTTCACAAATTCAGCAACAAATGGCCTTGGTTTCTGCAGGAGAGAAGCAAACGGAAAGTAAGGTAAAACTTTGGGAGAAGTGTCAGAGAAGCAGCATTACAGTGGATAACATATTTGAGTTCAACAGTCCAGTGGGTTCACATATATTCTATAGCCCACAATATCATTGTAGTTTCTGTTCTCTCTCAGGGAAAGGCTTCTGTGTCCCCACTTACTAGGGCTGAAGAACCTGGGAAGGATGGAGGCAGTCCATGATTCTGGCTTGAATCTGGCTTTTGCTAGGGAACTCATAAATCCCTGGCTAGCAGAATTTCTCCTTGGCTGTAGGAACCTTCCAATGTGTCCAGACAGAGCAGGAATAGCACCAAGATAAAATAGTTACCTTCCAGTTCCTGCTGTCCGGGGCAGGACCTGGTAGTATAAGTGTATTTTTTTTTTTTAATATTTCTCCTGGCATGAATAGAAAACTTTATCGGAATGCAGAAAACTGATGAAAAACCCAGATAAGGTGTTACAGTAAAAGCTTTATTAAAAATTGTTAAGTATGGAGACAACCTCTTTTTAGTGCACTCTGCTTATTTAAACCATGTGCTTCTTGGGCCACAGATCATGCCATTCGTGAGTTTTTGTGGTCCCTGTTTGCTGTCTGTGTAGTTGCTTGGGGCCAAAAATCCTATAATATAATCTGAGCAAAAAAATAGTTTTCAATCCTTGAGAGAACTGTGGCAAAGCAAAAGGATTGGTGTGGCAGATCTCTTCCTAGGTGAATATGTGCTCATTCCCAAATAGTTCCACTCACTTTGTTTAGAATTTTCATTCCCATGTCCCCGATCATCCGTGTGTCTTTTAAATCCCATTAGCAAAGCAAGTGAGAACATGTGGCTTCTTCCAGTAATACATGGAACATGTAGTAATGATTTTTGCATATGTCACTACAAGAAATACTGTCTTGTTCACATTATTAATGTTTTTCCACAAGGAAATGAAAAACTTTAGTTCAAACATTTAACATAGTAGAGGTGACAAAGAATATTAGTGCCAACTTGCTACAAATTACTTTTTCTTAAAAGTAATTATTATCATATAACCCTGTAGAATTTTCCACAGTGACATTAAAAGAACATTACACATGTTGTCATCTTAGCTAGTCATGGATAATCATGTGCCTTGATTCCAGTTTAGATGTGTAACACATAAAGGCTTTAATAGATATAACTTCTAGTATTTCATGGGTTTAAATAGCAAAGTTAAATGAAGTTAAAAGCACAGTATTCAGCTAGTGCAGATATAACTTCAGCACTACACTAATTATATAAGACAAGTTTCTGGCCCTAAATTCAGTGTTCTTGAAGATTTTTTTCAAGGATAGCTTTACTTAGCTGCTCTAAAATGTAGACGACCCGCAAGTATTCAGCTGTGATGATGCTACAATGTGAATTTTCTTTCAGTGCTGAATCAGTAGGTGAAAAACTGTTGGCAGCTTTGACCCTCTTCTTGTTTTTTTTTTTTGTTTTGTTTTGTTTTTTGAATCCTGTTTTTTTTTGTTTGTGTACAATGTGCATATTGATCTGTATAATAGCTGAGAATTAAGTGCTTCATTCCTGAGCGTGATGCAAAAGAGAATAAGTGTTGAACTAATGACTGGTGGAAAGAGAAAATGTGAAATAGAATCAAGGCATGATGGCCCAGTAGATTGTTGATAACAAATAATAATTTGAATTCAGTGTATTTTTCTGTTCATAATTGCAAACAACATATTTTCAGCTTTATTAGCTCGCTTTATATATGTTCACTTGATTTATACAAATGCATTTCTGACTGAAAGTTGTAAAAGCAGACCTATAAACACTGTCCTGGCAATGACCTCAGACCAATACAGCTACAATAGCACCATTACACTGAAAACAACTGTTGTCAGCTGTTTAAGAGCTAGCTGTCAGTGTAAGGCTTTCTGTTCAATGCAGGAAAAAAAAGGAGACATTTTTATCATCACCTTTTCCTAGTGGAGATACTGCCCATGTGGCTGCCTCTCTTCAGAAGCATCCATGCTTTTTCCGCTTCCTTTTTTACCACCGTCATTACATGATGGTCAAAACTGTTGGTCCTTCCCTATAAGCCACTTGCCACCACCAATGGCAGGATGTCCCTGAGTTGCAGGTACTGAAATTAGGAGGATTTTTACCTTTCCGGATTTCTTAACCTTCTATGTACAGTAAAAAGCAACAAAGAGAGCATAAGTAGAGCTTAAAAATAAACCCACTTGAAGGCTTCCCATTTCAGTGCAATGGGAGCAATATTTAAGCCGCTCTGAAAATAGACTGACTCATGCTTTAGAGGCATTGCAAAACTGTTAAGAGGAAAGCATGTTTATTCGACTACTGTAAAATGTGGTTGTAATCACTGCAATATACGGTGAACTCCCATGGTGTTTGGGAAAGTAATTTGTATTTTCAGAATATACAATGTTAAAAAAATGGAAATATATTAAAGTAATTTACCATACATGCAAAGAAAAATTAAGCTTTCCTTAATGTTGGGGGTGGGGGGAACTAAAAGCATGTGACAGAGGGGCACACTGCAGGCTAAGTATGTGAAAAATAAACAAGATAACGGCCAAATAGTTTTTCTCCACAAAGAATTGAGGGATTTTTTTTTCCCCTGCTAGAATGTGAGGAATGTCAAGCCTGGTCTTTACTGCTCATGAAGGATTCTAAGATGGCTTTGAGGTGGTCACAGTGAACTCTCATATTCTCATTGAAATTTAGATCAAGGAACTTTTCCTTGATCGACGGCTGAATAAACTTTTGGCTATCATGTCTGAGACACTCATTGACACAAATCTTACCATTACCGTAAAATAATATCCCCTCAAACTATCACTGGTCAATGGACTGTATGGTGTTGGTTTGTGGGCTGTATCATGCCTACAGAGGACATGTTCTCCACAGTGTGTCATATCAAACACTGTCATGTCAAACATTTGTCTTCTTCCATGCTAAATAGCTATTAGTCCTTGAAGCTAGGTGCACATTAGAAAAACAAACAAAATACAGCGTTTTTCATGAATCTAGCTCCATGTTGCCACTCCAACTAGTTACACAAATTTAAGGGAATCAAATTTGTCAGTGCCACTGTTGAACAAGTTTCCAATCTTCATGATATCCCAGCTTTGGCAAAATCCAATTTTTTGCTGTGAAGAACACCCAGGAGACATTTTGTGGGATAAATATTTTCCTTTTGGGTCATAGATCACAAGGAAACAAACAATGATCCTGTCTCTATGTATTGTCTGTAAAAGCTCAGTTTCTTGGATCAGTCAGGATAAGGCTTTTAATTCATTCACTAATAATCGATCATGCTTTAAACATGTTGCTAAAAATCTTTTTCTGTAGATCTTAATTCACTGTAGAACATTATTATTAAATATTCTCTGATACTTCCCTGCAGAACAGACTGTTACACTCCAGTGCATATGGAATCCCTATACAAAATGCCATCAGCAAATCTGCATGGAAAGTATGGGTTATTGCAAGAGAAATATTTTTTTCCAGAGCTTTTCCTGTCCACAGTGAGAAAGG